AAAAAAACATTCCTCATTTCTATGCGATATCACCTATATAATTCGATTAAGTACTGTATGGGCTTCTGAGTAGCTTATAAACAAACAATGCAATAAATATAGAAAGTTTTTGTTCATATACAAAAATATGCAACTATATGACTTCAAATTTCTGTTTCTTTAGACTATATAGATCTATTTACAGGTTCATATGAAGATCGATTCCTACATGAATATAGATAGCGCAACGATTGATCTGTACACCAATTAATACGGGATATAATTCAACACAAAAATAATTCCCACAATTTTCCTTAAAGATTTAGTACATCTAGTTTGCTCGTTACAGTGTATCTGAAACATATTTTGGTTATCGACTTTGTATATGAAATCAATCAGTCTCGGAAATGTACTGAATTAGCTGGAATCTAAAATAATTGAGGTTAGATAGATTGACAGACTTGTTTATATATAACCTAAAACGGAAAGTACTTCAGAATGAAACAAATATATATCATTTCATGTCATATTACTAGGCATGATTGATTCCATACATGTAAACTAATAACAAAAGATAGTCAGTACGAGGTTATGAAGATTGTTAAGTTTCATTGGAATCATGAATCGATCAATGTTACACGACCATTAAAAACCTAAAAGCATTGGACGGCCGCTTCGTTCTAATACTGGACGCCTAAATAGTGCCCATCCACGACCCCGCATGCGGAACTCGGATCCACAACCTCATACAGAAAATTAACACGTGTTCAGTAATGAATATTTTCGAAAGGTAATTTTCAGAGTTCTAGTGAGAAGCCGTGACCAATGGAGCTAATCTTTGTCGGATGTGAGGCAGTTACTCGCCAAAGACAATGGAAGATGGTCGTGCAACATTATGCACAGGTTGATGTTAAACTTTAACGCCGTTGGATGTCAGTCCAGTGGTTGTGAGGTTAAGCGCTTGCGCTAGACCAATCATGGGTCCAAGTTCCGCGTGTGGTTATGGATTTTAACTCCTGAAGAATTATTTGTCAAGACGAAACAGTCTTCCAGTGATGATCTAACATTGCGATAATGCAATGAGAAGAATTATTTGTAAAAGAGAGTTCTGATGGATTCTTCATACGAACCTATACTTAGTTATCTTTTCTTGTCAAATTCACGTTAAATGGTAGTTTAAAAATATATTCGGACACACTAAATAACTGCCGATATTAATGTGTAAATCATATTAACTTTAATAAAAAAATTGTTTTCTAAGATGTAATACCATACACTTGTACATGCAGGATAGAGAAATGCCTTGGTTTGTCAAACTACTTACCATTAGTAAGTAGTATACTACAGTGTATAAAAATACAGGTACGGGAAAGTTTGCATTATAGGGCTTATAATAAGTTATTATGCATTCAAAGTTTTTTATGTTAATGAAGGCGTGTCAGCGGCTAGAGATACCACTAAGAATGTTCTAAAAATCATATTTGAATTGTAACTCCTGTAACTTAACTGATCTGTCTTGCTTCTGGAACTCATAAAAAGTACTATAGACCATACTCTCCATTTATTAGTTAGTTAGCCTTCTAATAATTTTTTCTAGATTCCCAAAGGTCACAACATACTACCATTTTATGGAGTTATTAAGAGGTGTTTTAAAAAGAATCTGCCAATCTAATCTTACTGCATACATATGTTAGGAACACTGTTGTTGTATAATCAATTCATCCAAGGCTTATGTGATTCTTAAAGTCTGATTTATACCACATTAGCTAGGAACTATATTGAGTTACTTATTGAACATGATCTTTTAATTTGATTTCGGAGCTGAAATAATTTTTAAATGAACTATGGGATTTTCATGTAACTAATAAGTTCAGTTCCTTACTCTTCTTCAAACACGTCCATAGAATTACTGATAGTTCACACGGTATCTAAAAGACCCAAGGTAGTTAAGATGCATCGTATGCGAAGTAACCATTCACTTAGCAGCTTAGTTGTAGTCATCCGAGTCAGATGATCACCTATAAGTACGAGTGAGTACTCTAATTCAGAAATAAATCTTTCTTCAGTAGTTTTTGCCTTCTCCATCTGGATAGCTTGAATAACCGAGTGTGACTGAATCAGACAGCAAACTATAATGGTCACATTGATTTAAGTGTTTAAATTTATTCTTAGTTTACTCATTTTTAATTATTTCGGCAGATCGAAATAGTTAGGTCTAACTTCTTTCGTAATGAATATACTACATTTCATCACCATTCGCGATCCTTTGGTTTAAATGGATCAGTTTACCAGTGTGCATAAGATTTCGAAAACTATTTCATCTAACCGACACAAAAATCGCATCAAGCCACCACAAGTATCCGATTAGTTATTGATGCTCATAATTCTCCGTGCAAATAAATGGTCATTTTATGACTAGCAAATACAAGAACGACAAAATACCGTGAAACCTAGCTTCACCGATGTGAGGATGCTAAACAACTCTGTTTGATAGCCGCTGTCTTGGAAGATTCCTGACACTAAGTTATTAACCCAGAGGTTCGGCAACATGTGTTCAAGCGCATTGACGATAATTCAACTGGTGTAACCACCTTGAAACACCAAAATCGGTCGTTTGGATATGTACTACGAATGTCATCCCAGTGAATCGCACATGATGCATTATTTGTGGACGCTGTGACTGGTTAAGAAAATGGACGTAGTCAGCATATGACATGGTGTCGTAGTGTGAAAGAAAGCAGTGTACGGGACTGTCATTTATTGTTCCTCATTGACTCCACGATGGGGTCCTAAAGGTGATACATCACAGTGGCTTGAGATGTTATCAGACATAACCCAGAACAGAAGCGATCTTGCTGTAAATTTCTTCAGAAGAGTAGCTATACGAATCCTTGCTGGTTGTATTTTTTTAAACTGAACTGCATCTTCTATTATCACTACTTCACTCTCATACATTAAACCCAATTATTTCCTGAAATTATAGTTACCTTCATTTCTCTGTCTCTTCGCAATCTCATTTTAATGTGGCCCATATATTTTGGTGTCCCCTTGTATCAGTGTTTATGAGTTTGAATAAATAATTTGCTGAGTAGAAGTGTTTTCTCACAATTCAATTCACGAGTCAACCTAAGCTAGACCACCATTGTAAACCTAGAAACACTGGACAGTCGTTTCGTCCCATTATGGGACTCCTCAGCAGTGCACATCCACTACTCTAAACGCGGGGCTTACACATAGGACCTCGTGGGCGAACGCCTTTTTCTTCTAAAGATTTTATCCTATCGACATAGAAGTTTAAACAAGGAAGAGATTATTCAGATAACTAAATTTGCATGTATTTGAGGATTACTCTGACTGAGATTTATCCATACACAGTAATAACTACATTGTTAATCCCCTACATGGTCTTGTGTTTCGGCTAATGTTTCTCACCTATGCCTGTTGCCCTTCGTAGAGCATAAAATAACGACCAGGAATCCCCGACTCAATCAGGCTCGAGGTGTGGCCTCCCAACAAAACCAATTGTTTTGAGTTGAGCGTCCGGGTAGTATCCCAGCCTTCACACGAATCACTTTATTTGTGTGGCGCATATATATTTGATGCCTCTTTTTATGTGTTAAAATAAATAAAAACCAATAACCTACGAATATCTCCTACCCTTAATGACCATGTTCCATATCCATAAAGTAGAACGGAGAGAAATACCGCTCATCAGGTCTCCGACCAGGAATATCCAGCCTCCTCTATCCTAGACTCTCCTCCTTTCCAGTTGTTTCCGATTACTATTCATTCTATCAATGTCTACTTCTAATTTCGGACGCAGTGTGTTCTTTGGTCTACATCTTCCTTTCGCCTTCAGGATTCCGAGTTAGGGCTTAATTTGTAATGCAGTTTGATCATTTTCGTAATGTGTGTTCTACCCACCTCTTATGTCCTTACCTAATTTCCTCCTCAGCTAGAAACTAGTTCTCTCCCACAGTATTTTGTTGTTGATGATGCTTAGTCTAGGGATCTGTAGAATCATGGATCGACAACTGTACATCAATACTTATACTTGTTTGATGATAGTTTTATTAGTTCTCCAAGTTGACCGAGTGATAACTTCTCATGAAACTGGATTTTTGATGAAAACCTCGAATGAAGCAAATATCAGTAAATGTTCGTACTTGCAAACATAATCTTATTTTAAAACTATATTAGAGACAATTGATGAAGTAGTGAAAGTTCATCAGTTGAGATGGCTGGGATACGTGTTACGTATGCCCAACTACCGACTGCCCCAACGTGCGACGTTCACTGGTATAGGAGTAGGTTGGAAGAAAGCTAGGGGCGGCCAGATCAAAATATGACACAAATACAATAAGTTACTGACAAGTGAACTGAGCCATGTTAGTAGGTGTAGACTACTTGGTTGGGAATCCGCGAGACGATAGCAACTGATAATTAGAGACCCTGAATAACATGGCTCAAAATCGTCTGCGATTGCGCAGGTAAATCCACTCTTTGTGTTCTCACAAATTCTAATCTTCTGAAATCTTCCTGTCCTTTTATTTTTTCGCTTTCCATATTTATTTCACTGGATTATACTCTTTGAATAACATCTTCAAACCCTAATCTTTTCAATTACTGTCTATGTGTTTACTACTTCTACCACTATGGGATTAGAATGGACAACTGCATCTCTGTGCTAATGTGATATGGCAACTTGAACTGATGTATGTACGTGCGAAGTTCTATGTTGTTGCTAACTGAGAGACAATTGAATCAGTTCACTTAACGTATATATTACAGAAAAAAAACAAACGAACAAACAAACAAACATTTTTATTTTGTTAGAAAAACAAAAACAAAATGTTTCATAATGATTCAGTATTAACAATTGAAAAACTCACATTATATATGAGAGATTGATGAATTACTTTTATCAGTTACACAGATTACATTTTCTTTTATTACATAATCGTTGTAATAACCATATTTCCTTAGTTAAATCAATAAAGCATAGAAATACATCCCTTTTTTTATTTTAAATTGTTCTCTATTGTTTCTTCATTGTCATTCATATTTGCTTTATTATTATCTAATAGTTTACATTCAAGTGTAGGCCATGATATTGGTTCAGCTTTTTTCAATATTATTTCAGCTTTTAATGGCATTAATTTAACAACAGATTGTTTTGGATCTATAGACTGAAAGTATAGAGAAAAAAAATCAATAAAATACAGAAAATCATATTTGTTAGATGGTTAGTAACAATTATGTTCTGTTTTGTATCATCAGTTACACTTTAGGTAATTGCCACTGGATCTCAGCAATCCTTCGGAGACAGCGATGATAGAACACAGAGAGTCGTCTAACAGGTTTCACAAGCATAGAGAAAAACTGATCTCACCAACGCGTTGTAGATCCGATCTTTTACAGCCAAACTGACATCACGAGGGCGAAAAAGGTGGCCCAGATTGGCATAAGCCGCCCTGGCTTTCACTATACGTGCATTGACCTCATCACTCACACCCCCACCAGCACTTATGCAGCTACCTGGATAGATACACAAACTTCTCGACTACTTCTATCGGCTCACCATCCAGGGTGAGTACAGGATTAGAATCCTGCTAGTCTTGTAGAAGTACTCTGCACTTCGGAGGTGCAAAGCACATACCATACCTACGGACACTGATTGCCAACTGATTAAGTGTGGATTGCATGGCTTGGGCATTATCGCACAGTAAGACAATATCATCCGCATAAATAAATAAATAAGGTAATTTTAGATACGAGACTTTTCTTAATATGAAGCTGGATCTATGTGATTTATATTTACAATATCTTAATCATCCATAGTGAAATGGGAGACAGAAAGGTTAAGAACTCAGAAAAAAAGGTTGATATTTAAACAATACAAAATTATAATTAGACAACTTTGTATAAATAGCAAAAACCATGATCTTGGGATACAACCAAATTAGCAAACTATAAGCAATGATGACTAATCATATAATATCAAAGGTTAGTGCATAAATATGAATGGGAAAACAATTGTCATGAACTTCGTTACAGATTAAAACTAACTATTGTTAACGAAAATAGAATAATCTAAATATTTCCTACCATCTTCCATTTTTAAATCAAGTAATTCGTAACTTAATGTCGACGTTGGTTCAAGGTCTCTTTTCTTGACTACTGTATACTGGATAGAGTAGGTCTAGAGGTTTCCTGATATGCCTATTGTTATTTACAAAACGGATATCAGTACCTCTTTGCGGAAAACGTAATAATTAAGTGAATTTTAGCCATTTATACTTGACTTCAAATCTGTATGAGGTCCTGAACGATGTTTGTCAATTTCTTAGTGCTAAATCAATTCTACAAATAAACTGCAATCAATTAATGTAAACATCTCAATCTTATAACATATTAACTACGACTACCTTGAAAGATCTAATGCTTCATTAAGCATCACAGTCAATGTGATGTTGTTGAATCATTAGAATCAAAAGTTACACTTTATAACTTCACTAGAATTTGATCAAACACTAATATTATTAGTCATTATTCAATAACTAATTGATTGATAACAATGTTATTGAATAAAAATAAAGAGAATTCAATGAAGAAACTTCTCTTTTCGACAAAATCATTTACTTAAGCTGTACATTCATAGTTATAGTTGTTTGGTGAATATATTTGTCTATAGAAATTATAGAAAAGATTACATCATAAATTGATGCAAGACTCTTATTGTCAAATGAGGTTACACAATAATCAAAGGGTAACAGGAGAATATAGAGATGACTGTTGTAATCAATATGTAAACACAATACCTACAATTAGTCGATTACTCACAAAATAGAATAAATCTTAATTATCTGATATTCGGAGAAATCAGGACGAGGGTGCAGGAATTGTCCTTACAAATCATATTAATTATCTTCGATGTTATGTTATTCTGTCTAATTCTCCAAAGAAACCATTCAAAAAGATGCAATTGAGAAAACGTAACAGATGTTAATTAAAATCCTAAGGAAGATGAGTTTACTATTAATTATCACCTGTATGAACATCTTAAATTATCGGGTTCCGTCATACAAAGACTGCATGGACTCCCAAAAGTTCATAAGAATGTCTCTCTACGTCATATATTTGATATAAATAACTCTCCATATCACCTGATTGCTAAATGGTTAGCTGATATTTTACAACTCGTTAAAAATCACATTAATAGATACAACTCTCTTGATTCCTTTGACTTTGTCGACTCAATTAGAAATATCAATGTACATGGTAGGAAAATGATTTCATTGGATGCCACTTCTCTCTTTATAAATGTTCCTCTCACAGAAATTGTTTTTTGTGTGACTATATTGAAAATAATAACATTGATATTTATATCTCAAAACATTGTCTATAAGAGCTACTTCTAGGATGTACTCTCAACATGGTATTCAGATTTAATTATTTCTATAGAGCGATCATCTTCCAAACGCATCTCAGAATACTACTTGACATGGTTTTTAAAAGGAGAATGCAAAACAATAACTAGTTCAATACAGGAGCATTTAATCAAATATGGACAAATCGCTCCAAAGGAGACTTTTTAAAAAATAATCTACACAGTCAAAGGAATTGGGTCGAAGAAAATTCTGGTAAAAATCTTATACACTGCTGAGACATTGACAATCCAACAACTCAAGCCCGAACTTTGAGTGCAAAAAACGATACATCCAACCTCTCATATCTTTCCTTGGTCCTATTTCCCTTTTATAGCATGTTTCGATTTTTTTCATTTTTTATTTATTATTGGTTTTTTAAATTAGTGTTTTGTAATTTTAAACTGTAACTCGTTATTACTACCTTTGAACAAATTTTCATGATTATTCAGTTTTTATGATTGCCACCTTCGTGGATTAGTTGAAGTTGGAGATTAACACCGTTGGATGTTGTATCAATAATCTAGTGGTTAAGCGCATGCGCGCGAGGCTGATAGGTCTTGCGTTCAAATCTAGCGAGGTGGGATCGTGTATACGCACTGCTGAGGAGTCCTATTATAGGACGAAACGATCATCCAAAGCATCCAAATTTTCCATGGTGATCTAGCTTCAATTGATTCATGAATTCAACTATTAAATTATTACCTTCGTTTCTCGATTTACTTCATATCTGTCAATCGGACAATTATCTTTCATAATTCTGACCCAGAAATTATTTTCATCTTTATATTTCTTCCTTATTATTTATTCACAAACATAAACATTGGTACGAGAAGATACCAAACAGGTATGCGCCACACAAACCATTCGATATATGTGAGGGCTGAGATACTGTCCGGGTCCCCAAACCGAAGCAATTGCTTTTCTTAGGAGGCCACATTCAAGGCCTTTGACCTAAAGGTAGTGGAGCAACGTAAGGAGATGCAGTCTCATGGTAGCCGCTGACCAACGACTGGTTCATACTCTATTTGTTCCTTTAGGATACTGGAGCCCATGTACATCAATGGTTTGTAATCAGGGTTTCCCAACTCCCCTAGGTGGATCCTCTGCATCCACCAACCAAGCTAAAGTGCCAGACATTCGCTTTTCGTCTTCTCAATTTCGTAAACAACACCCCCGCCACGAAAAGTCAGTGAGTAGAACTTCCCTGTCAGTTGTTGTATGCACGTGACCATGTGCGAGCATTTTGAGAGGGAGAGCTAACTCTCCCCTCTCCTTACTCCTTGATTATTATTATTACATAACCTCATTTGATAATAAGAGTCTCGAATCAATTTATGATGTAATCTTTTCTATCTTTCTATAGACAAATATATTTATCAAACAATTATAACTACGAATGTAAAGCTTAAGTAAATGATTCTGTCAAAAAGAGAAGTTTCTTCACTAAATTCTCTAAACATAAAAACAGATTAAAGGAAAAAGAGAAAAAAGGGAAGGAGAAGAGATAACTTACACCGTATAAATTGAAATCTCTTTCAAATGTTTGATAATCTAAACCAAATTTCAATGAAACATGTAATACTATTTGATTAACTTTAATAGAAACAGTTTCAGGCCATATATTTTTAGCATAAATATCTAATGTAACACAACCACCAAATTGATACCAATCAAAACGACAATTTGTATTTGGTTGAAGAGTTAATGTTGCATTTGTAGATTTTGCATCCTATTATTAAATAAAAATTTAGAAGAAAAAAGAACATGAAATGATTAAAGTAACTTGTTTAACGATTATAAGTACAAGCAGTTGATTTTGAATAAAACTTTGTAAGTGTTAGGTGATACTAACTAATTACTAAAATCAAAGTAGATGGAATGGAACTCGAACATGGGGATGTATTTGGTTGAAAATCAATTATTGTTACCAAGTATAAATCAGTGTAGTTGATTTCGAATCAAACTCTTAAGCGATACTAAACGACTGCCCATGTTGAAGTAGGTAGGGTTAGAATTGAATTTTAGATATAATATGATTGGAAAATGAATCCTCAGACTACTGAGTCACCTAATTCATAAAACTAAAATTATAGGATCACTATTTCATTGTATCAGAATGAGGATTTGCAGAGATTATAATATAACAGTTGAATTCATGAGTGTTGGGGATGCTGTGATATGGTGAGCACAGATTCAATCCATTAGATTGCGAGACATAAAAATATTATTTCTCTAATCTTCTGTGAATTATTTAACTTATTTAATTCATTATATCTGTTCCTTGTAGATCATCGACTGTATAATATTGGTAAATGTGTTCGCACAGTAAGTTATTGATTAACTGATCTTTAATACTACTCAATTCCATCTATACAAATTTGACGATGTGTAAATTGCACTAAAAAAATGATATATTGGTATATCATATTGATAAACAAATAAACCTTTATGTTCTTACTACGCGTCGTAGAATTAGGGGATCCCAGTACCAACCACAAGCCAGTTGAGCATTTAGAAGTCATAATAGACTAGTCATTTTTTGTACTAGTATGAGTTGAGAATAGATTATTATTATTATTATTGAGTACGTTGAATGTGAGTTTAACATAAACGAATTATTATTTTTAGTATAGAGTTTTATACTCACTAATAAATAACTTCGAGATGTAATTTCAGGAGTTCTACTGAGAAACCGTGACTAATGAAGTTCAACCATGTTGAGTATGTGACAGTTATCTATAAGAGGTAATAAATGAAAAGATCATCTTAGCTTCTCGACATATTTAAATATGATTCGTTTATTCAACCCAAAGTATGTTGTTCCGATAAATATCATATACCTCTCAACAATCGTTTTCCTTGTAGTATATTAAGTCTATAAACATTAATACTAATTCGTTTTTTTTGACAGAATTCTTTAGAAACGTTTTTATTATTTCATAAAACTGAATAGTTTTTAATTCACTTGGTATTGTTTTACTTGAATCTTTTCATTGATGTTTAGGACTGAAATTGATCAGTCTTTTTCGTCTAAATACAATTTTCTAATTGATTCTCCTTGTGTAAACAAAAAAAACAAGATTCACATGGAAGTTGGGTAACAAACTTAAAACTTTTTAGATGAAATATATTAGATGGATTTTGATTATCGATGGAATCCAGAATATGCATTTCACTCTCTTTTAGGACTCACCAGCTGTATGTACCTCTATATCCCAATGTTGATATTTAGATTGAGACGTGAACCTAATACAGTAGCATTCACTGTAAACACAACAACTGGTTATCTACTGAACTAATGAGTTCCAGTAGTCACTAATTAATTCAATGCGTATGATATTTGTATCATTATTGATAAAGGTTTGAATAATCCTATTGTAAACACTTTAGGATTGAATTTTGAACATCAACAATAGAGTGCAAGCAAAGTAGGCTGAAAAATTCCAAATAGGATGAAACATCTATTCTGGATCTTGCCGCTAACCACAATCCGCATAAAAAAATTAACACACATCAACAAAGATTAATTACAATTAAATCTTGACTGTCAACAACGATATAGTTCAAACATTTTGTAATGATGATTTTTAAGTGAAGATTCTATTCTATGTGGAATATGTATCGATTAAGTTAAAGAGCATTAATATTTCATAATTTGAGCACAATTTTTACGCATCGCTACTGCGAAAGAAATAGTTGAAGTAAAACGGAAAACCACTTGAAGTTTATATATATATATATGAATTGTTAGCGTGTTTTTCTAGCGAAGCAAAGGCAGCATCCCTACAATTGAAGAAGATATGCAACTCAAAACAAATGTCTGTCAACCAATATCAAAGTCACGATCTTCAATACGAACGTCAAGACAGTTCTACTGTATGCACCTGAAACTTGGAAGACTACTACAACCATCATCAAGAAGGTACAAGGATTTATAAATAACTGTCTACTCAAGGTACTCAACACCCATTGACCGGATACCATCAGCAACAGTCTACTGTGGGGGAGAACAAACCAACTTCCATCTGAAAAGGAAATTAGGACAAAATGATGGAAATGGATAGGACATACATTACGGAAATCATCAAACTGCATCACAAGAAAAGTGTTAACGTGGAATCTTGAAGGGAAGAGGAGTAGAGGAAGATCAAAGAACACATTACGTCGGTAAATGGAAGCAGATATGAAAAGAATGAATAACAACTGGAGATCTGGAAAGGATTGCTCAGGTCAGGGTTGGATGGAGAATGCTGGATAGCAGCTTATGCTGCTCGACGAGGAGTAACAGGCGTAAGTAAGTAAGTAATATATGAATTGTGGACTCACTTCCACTGTCCAATTATGATGACCTGTAGTACACCCGATTTGTTTAAGGAATGCTTCGAAATCACTAGTTTTCTGATTACAACAAGTCCAATACTTCAGTCTAAAATAAAGCAAAAATAAACATATTTCTTAAAGAAAAAAACAATAACTAACCGATTATTTCATTTTGAGCGTTATTATCTGAAACTAATTAGTTAACCTTTATAGTAATATACTAAACTAAGTATTAATTCATTAGAGACTATAAGCACGTCATCTTATCAGATGAAAAAGCCGGTTCAACTATCTCAGATTACTGATGTCTGTTTCATTGGAGATTTGTATCAACAATCTAGTTTCACGAGAAGTTATCACTCGGTCAACTTGGAGAACTAATAAAACTATCATCAAACAAGTATAAGTATTGATACACAGTTGTCGATCCATGATTCTACAGATCCCTAGACCAAAAATCATCAACAACAAAATACTGTGGGAGAGAACTAGTTTCTAACTGAGGAGGAAATTAGACAAGGACATAAGAGGTGGGTAGAACACACATTACGAAAATGATCAAACTGCATTACAAATTAAGCCCTAACTCGGAATCCCGAAGGCGAAAGGAAGATGTAGACCAAAGAACACACTGCGTTCAGAATTGTAGGTAGACATCGATAGAATGGATGGTAATCGGAAACAACTGGAAAGGAGGAGAGTCTAGGATAGAGGAGGCTGGATATTCCTGGTCGGAGACCTGATGAGCGGAATTTCGAGAGGGAGAGCGGGGGCTATCTCTACTCTGGGTCGTACTAGGGCATTTGGGGGATGGTACTCGATCATAGGTATTTACAAAGCATTTTACATGTGTTTTTGGACCACGAAGTAAACAATGCCTAGGTTGGAAATAAAATACTAAGTAAAGACGGCAAACAGATCAATGATTTATTACATCTACATCAACTGAGGTGGTTGGGATGTGTGTTACATATACTCAACCACGACCTACCTCGACGGGAGGTGTTTTCTGGTGCAGGAGCAGTCTGGAAAAAGGCTAGGGTCATCCAAACGAAAACAAGTCATCAGTCCATAAAGTCACTGACAATAAGACCTAAGCATATTAATAGGTACAGACTGTCTGTTTGAGGTCCGGGTGTTTATCGTAACCAATGACTAGACTTCGGATAACATGACTAAAAATCCTTCGCAATGGCGCGGGTGCATTCATTCTTTGTTTTCTCCCAAATCCTGAGATCCTAAATTCCTCATAACTTTTTTTGTTCTTGTTTCGCTAATTTGTGTTCTTTTCGAGTCGTATCTTTGACCCACAATCTTCCTTATTACCACTGATACTGTTACTACCTCTACCATTTTGGAATCTGGCCTGACAACTTCATCTCTGTCTTATGGCAACTTGAACTGATGTACATACGTACAGATTCTACTTTGTGACTGACACACAAACTGACTCGGATGACTAAGTATTTTTCATATATGCATATGAAATACTACCGTATATTGAAGTAAAACTTGGTGAAGATCTGATTGAAGACAATATTGTTCTCCTATATATTTGTTGTTTTAAATACGTTGAGTAATGATTATACACTGAAAAGAACTGCTGCTTAACATGCGTGTAACACTTCAAATTTAAGTCTTGAGATCACATATTGAGAATAAATTTTTAACGACTAATTTAGGTGCTTAGTACGGTGAAAATATAAAAAAGTTGACTGACTTAGTTCTAAACAATCACCAATGTTTAATCTTTTTACTTATAGAATCGGTCACAAGACTGGGAAATGGAGTTATAATCATTTAACTATTGGGAAAAAGGGATGTGGAAGTCAGCAATTTATAATTTCAACGAACTTGTACTACTTTTCACTGATTAAGACTTGTAAAATAGTTTTCATGGTACAAGAAGTCTCGTAAATATTTAAAGGTTTATCAAATATAAAAAATAGAGATAGCAATGAGTTTACCCTTCGTGAAATACAGCCACACCGGGATGATATAGACAGAGTCCACTATCTGAATCTGTTCCTGTATAAACCTACAAAGAAAACGTTAGCTGGTCAGTATGGCAAACGAAGATTAAATAAAGATAAATCGGTCAGTCATCACAAGCTATATAACCTAAAATGTTCAACTACTGGTTACAACGATTGCGCAGACCCTGACCAAGTAGTCTGAACATATCATTCTAAATGTCAATGAATTTATGAACTGATCTCAAGTTTTGATTTGGTCACTACTAGCTTTCCTCTGACCTACCCCCTCTACGCCAGCCGATAAAAGGCGTCAACATAGGTGGCAGTTGGGCATACGATGAAATTTCAACACATTAACCGATTTGCCACCCCTACCTAGTACCCTGCATTTAAGCTCAGGATCACTCATTCGATCGCCGCAACATATGCGAGCAATGTTTTAAAAATATATGTGATCTAATATTATTAATTTACAAATATCTATTTTTAGTCTGAATTTTATACCCGTAAAGTAGAACAAAGTGAACTGCTGCTTAGTAAACTCATTACTTGGTTGGGAAACAGACAACTCATTTACACCACGAGTGATGCAATTTAAGGAAACTAGATCGATCATAGTGAATACAGCCCGAAAAGAATAAATTCGATCCAGAAACAAGAAACGTGAAATAATAAAATGTCAGATTTAAGGAGAAATAAAGAATATAATGGCAGTACATAGGGTCATCACTTATTGATTAGGAAGTCTGCACTTTCCAATAAGGCTTGGTCTAATGGTTAATGACTTTATAGAATAATATCATGTATTGATTTGGTCGCCACTAGACTTCTAAGTCTACTTCTTTGTTAACCAGAAATAAACACTGAGGTAGACGATGCGCTGACAAGCGTAATGGAGGTTTAAACCAGATTAATCAATGAAATTATACTTTATTAGCTGATTTACAGCTTCCAAATATGATGTCTTGAGTATGCTTTTATCGAGATTTGAGCATATCACTAAACGGTTTGGGTACCCGAGCAGTACCATAGCCCACACACAAATCAAGTGATCTGTGTGGCGCATATGTATTCAGTGCCCCGTTGTACCAATATTTATGTGTTCGAATAAATAAATACTACTCAGCACTTAAGTTTTGTAATTCAACGTGAACAGGCTAATCCCAGCGTGTCCAATAAATTTAATTTGTGAAACCTCAGCCATACGACACCCGTAGAAATAATCTAAATATTAGTACACTGGCGTAATAAGTCGTATGATGAATAAACATGACTTTCGAAGGACGTTTTTCTATCAACATAGAAAATGTGTGTAAGGAAACTTTATAAAATCGCTGACATACTTCAGCAAATTTATCTGGATAGCATCCACTTATCATTATGCAAAACTAAATTATAAGTCACAGTTTGTATCGCGAAAACTGAGCAACCAAAAGAGTGGTTGAAATATTCCTGTTAAATATGAACTTAACTGTGAGTCATTATTTGTGTTAAAGCTTCACTTATCAGCTTGTCATAATTACAAGAAATTGTATACTTTGAAAAATACGATTTAAACATTTTAAAATATACACACATTACCTAGACTTACCTGTTTGCATGCAGTGTTCTTGCAATTTGTACCAATTGAAGGACTACCTAACATGGAGAAAGAAGGGGTCATAGCTTTATTTTTGGGTATGTTAGAATCATGTAAATATATATGGCAACTATGGATGGTAAGATAATCCAGGTTGTCCGTGAATTTAATTAACATTAAAACTGAAAATAGCAGTTAAATATGAAATTTTGATTACAGTAGACTATCAGGATTAGTAGGTTCACAACGTGAGTGCAAGAAGTTACTTAAAAACTGGTCTACTCTCGTGCAAAATCTAAAGGAATGAATGACATCATCAGTTGTGAAACACAACCTAGATATATTGAGTGCCCCTAAACGCCCTGGTACGGTAGAGTGGGGAGAGTCAGCTCTCCCTCTCAAAATGCTCTCATATGGCCATGTGCACACAGCCACTGCCAGATAAATTCTACTCACGGACTGGGTGTTGTTTACGAAATTCAGAGGACGAGAACCAAATGTCCGGCACTGTACCAATGTTTATGTTTAAATAATAATAAATAAGATATATTGAATTAGTATGTGAAATCAGATGACTTTTTGATATAAGCCCCGTCTCAACTCAATTATAGGTTGACGAATGGCTATCGTTGTGCGTGATCTCCAGTTGTGATCATCTGCAAGTACTATTTAAGCTTAGCGATATTAAGCGCTAATAAACGTAATACGAAGTTAACATGAATGGTAATCATGAAAAAACCAACCTTTATTATTATTTTCTATTGTAGAATTCTGTAATGGTTTGAAGGATGGATCTAGTGATAATTCTTCCAGAGCTGACTTAAGATTTGATGCAACTTCGATTGGAAGATCACATGTGGGCTCGGTACTTGATGGTCTTTGGGATACAACGGGTTTTGATATTACAGTAGGTGTAGGAATAGGCTACAAAAAATCATTGGAAGTAACTGATGAGAAATTTTCGGATAAATCAAATTTAAAACACGAGACAATGTAGCTAAGATCCTGAATGAATGATTAGACATTAGACAAATACTTGAATGTCAGTAGAAACCGTCCAAATCTGAGACCAACGAGTCCGGAAATAAACAGATAGGTGTAGTTTCATTCTGTGTAATAAATTGAATGAATGTGAAAGGACAACTAAATACGTCATCTACTTCTAACGATGACGAATTACGTATTTATGATGGTTTTAAGAGTACTGGTTAAGGATCACAATATGAAACACTACTTATGGTTTGGAAATATTTACGTACGGATAGGAATATAGTGTTTCAAACAAACGTGAATCCTCATCTGTAAGTGGATGATTATGAATCATAGTCACTATGATGCTACTTGGTTATCTAGGTGAAGGCGGATACGTTATTTCGTAGAATAACAAATACCTGACCTCGATTTAAATGTTAGACAGTGGTCCAGTGTCGAGAGCCCTATTCGAAAAAAGACTGGTGACTTTTTTTCTGGAGACCTTGAGACTAATGATCTTTTCACTCCCAAATACGATAATCATAGTTAACTTCCCCAAGGAACTTAACAATGAACATGCACTTTTACTAATTCAAATAAAATTTAGACTGATATCTCTTGAGCAAACCTCGGTTATTATACGTAGAGCTAAAACATTGCAAACCTATTTTTGTCCTAATGAGTTTTTTCTAGTGTGTTTCTGAATTATGATCGGTTTGATCAAAATGACACCAATAATAAAATACAAACGACAGAACACAAAAGCATTGTTGTGCCGGCTTGTATTACGCTGACCTTTACGTACGTAAAACATTAAACGTATAAATCCGAAAATTATTAACTGAAGAAATGATACACAAACGAATAAATTAGCCAAGCAAAATCTATTGTGATGTTGGGCTTGCCGGTAAATAGCATATACCAAAACATAAGCAATTGATAATTAAGTATAGATATTTGTGCCAACAAAAACACTAAAATGGATGTACACATTTCGAATTTCATTTTTCGCACCGACTCGTGAACTAGTGGGAACCCCTACCAGAATACATAGTGTAATCACCCGGTGTAGATATATCAACAGCAATAAGACAGTCGCGACACCACGAATTGTGAAGTTTACTATAAGTCGTCCGGCTTACTCTTACCAGTGAAGACTTAAACAGGTGTTCCCTAAAACTGCAAAAATCCATCCAGTGAATGATATGGGAACAAAACTTAAGACATTCCAAGGTATCATCACACTACTTTCTGTCCTGGAGACATTTCTACGGCTTGTTAACGGGAACTAATGACTTACTTTAGTTGGAAGATCAGATTTCTTTTCTTTGACAGTGTTATCTGGAGGGACACTGTTATGCTTCCCTACAGCGCATCCCTTTATGCTTAGAAACTCAGAAAAGTCTGTGCTGTACTTATTACAACAGGACCACTTTTTCTTGGCATCATGAAAGATTGGCTCTCCAGGATGGTAATGGCACGAATCTGTGAACTCTGGTAACAACCAGTGGGACCGTTACCTTCCGAATTCTCTTCTGGATCGAACTTCTGAGCGCATCCCTTGTTATAACAGAATTGTAAGTTTGCCATTTGAACTCTATCAGTGGTTTCGTGTATATAAATAACCAACTTCTTAAAACTCCCTCACGTACAATAAAAGAGGCGAAAAATGGACGCTGAGGAAAAACACGGGACCTCCAATAGCCGAACTTTCAAGTGGTTTGTATGTCAACTGTTCAATAGTCAATAAACCAAGTTGGGGTGTCGTAGGTACAAATTCATTGAGTTCTGACTAGAAATGCTTTCAAACATTCCATAAGTAAAACCTTACTTGTCTACAATAGCATTAATTGTTCATGGTACCAGGCGTAGGTAATGCAAAGTAACTGGTCTGCGACCTATTATTTCAATCATTATTATTATGGATGGTAAGTCAGTTGACTAGTATTGGCAATTGCTGTAAGCATCTCTGTGACGATACGGTGTACTCGAAGACATCCGCTCACTAGGTTGATTCCACTTGTCATTGGCCACTCCGAGAAAATGGAGTTTCACCACTGGACTGTTCAGTTGTGGTGTAGCCGGACATGATTGTCTTTAAATGTAACAGAATGTGTGACTTTGAAGTACACAAGTCATTTGAAATACTGATCAACAGTATTAGATCACCTCGCTTTTTACAATAATTGCAGTAAATTCGTGGAGCACACGTATACTGGAGGTGACAACTCAATTGAAGCTCGGTTCTTCAACCTCATTGATGACTTGGGCTTATATGAAAATGTGAGGTCGGCAACTCGTTGGAGAAACAGTCAGACACCATCGCGGTTAGACTGTGTATTCACAAACGAAGAATTCCTAGTTGACAACCTCTCAATCTTGGCTCCTCTGGGAAAGAGCGATCATGCCGTCATAGCCTTCAGTTTTGTCACCAAAACTAAGCTAAGGTATCCCAACAATAACTTGCGTTGGAATTTTAAACGGCTGAATGTGCCAGCTCTTCACGACTATTTACAACAGGTGGTTTGGGATGTTCACCCCCAACTCGATGTGGACGGTCACTGGAACTTCTTACTGCACACGCTCTTATGTGCTACAAACCATTCAGTTCCCCAAACGGTTCCCAAAAGCTGTAAGCCACCTACAATAATCAAGAACCGTACCCTTCGCCTGCTAAGCCGTAAAAGACACTGTTGGGCGGAATACAAACGAACTGACAACGACGGAGCGTATAGGCAATTCAAACATATCAGGAACATATGCACGAAGGCTATAAGAGAAGACAGGCTTCATTATCAGACAAAGCTTATGGACAAATTTGCCTCGAACCCTAGAAGCCTATTCCGTTATGCAGCCTCTCTTCGTCAAGCCAAAACAGGAGTTTCTCAACTTCTAGGTCTTAATGGCCCAACCAACAACGATGGTGACGCCGCTAACCTTCTGGCGGCACACTACTCTCAAACATTTCAGCCGGCTGACATCAACTCTATTGACGACAGTTTCACCTGTAATTCCACAGGGCTTTCCGAAGTGGACCTAAGCGCTGACTTGGTGTTCCGGAAACTGCAGCACTTAAGACTAGATACTTCTCCTGGCCCGGATATGGTTCATTCTGCCATACTGAAGGAGGCAGCCTCAATCCTGACAACGCCGCTTAGCGTGATGTTTTCACACTCGCTAAGCCAAGGCAAATTACCGGAAAATTGGAAGTTGGCTCACATCACACCAATTTTCAAAGGGGGTCGACGCAATGAACCTTCAAGTTATCGGCCTGTGGCTCTTCTGTCATTAATTTCAAAACTCATGGAGTCCCTGATATGCGATGGTTTAAACGATTATCTACTGTCCTTAAACTTCTTCTCACCCCAACAGCATGGTTTCAGGAAGGGTTACTCTTGTATAACCAACCTGCTGACTGCGGTGGACAGATGGACAAGCATCCTCGATCGCAAGGGAAAGGTTGATATCATATACCTTGACTTCTCAAAAGCTTTTGATAAAGTTAACCACTTGTGTCTTATCAACAAGCTCAAACGACTAGGTATCAAACCACCTCTAATCGATTGGCTTACTTCATACCTAGAAAATCGACACTTTAAGGTTAGGGTTAATTTCACTTTATCTCAGGCTATGGAATGTCCTAGTGGGGTTCCCCAGGGCTCAGTATTAGGGCCTCTCCTCTTCTTGATCTACATAAACGATCTTCCTCAACAGGTAACGTCAGACTTACTACTTTTTGCCGATGACGTGAAACTTTGGAGAGAGATACGCAACCAAGACGATACACAGGCACTTCAGGAGGACCTGACTCGACTTCAAAGTTGGGCAGACGATAACGGACTTACGTTTAACACTTCAAAGTGTAAAGTAGTCCATCTGCGACATGTCGCAGACTACAGTTATAACTTAAGAAATTCCTCTCTAGTAGTATCCCAAGTCGAAAAAGATTTAAGAGTCCTGGTGCCCCATGATTTAAAGTCTTACGCTAATTGTGACAAAAATGCCTTCCGAGCTAACCTTGCACTGGTAACATTGAAGCGCATTTTTGGCCAGTTTGACGGAAGAACTTTCCATACAATCTTCAATAGTTTTATCCGTCCCCATTTAGAGTACGGAAATATAGTACTCACCCCCTCACTCCAAAAGGACAAGATCACTTTGGAGCGTATCCAACGGCGAGCCACGAAATCAGTTCGCGGACTCAAATCTAAGCCTTACGAAGAACGCCTCCATTCACTAGACCTTTACCCATTAGAGTATAGGCGTCTTAGAGGTGATTTATTAATGGCTTATAGTATTCTTAACACTTCTGGACATCCTCTTAAACACCTACTCAAGCTTAGTTCGAATAATAACCTAAGGGGTAACACCCAGAAACTGGAAACTCAATATAGCAAGACGGGATGTAGACACAACTTCTACTCCTTAAGAGTTGTCAAAAGCTGGAATTCGCTGCTCGCTGAGCTAGTCCAAGCGACTTCTCAGGAGTCCTTCAAGAGGCAACTTGACCTATTCTTAAGGACAAAAGACAGTATCATACTATGATTTACCAATTTCTTTTCATCTTTTATTGTTAACATACCTAGGTTCCTGCCTGGAGGATTTGGTGATCCCCTGCTACTAGACACGGAAGCCTGTTAAGCGAAAGCTTCTTCTATTCCGTCCACAACCATTTGAACCATTTGAACCATTTGACTTTTAGATCTCCCTACATTGAGAATATTGAGGTTTGGCATTAAATTCGCATCTACTCGTTGGAAGCTAAATAGTCCTAGAATCCTTAAAATCACACGTAAAGTGTCTATTTGTGTGATGTATTTTGCTTTACGGCCCGGGTTAATAAAGTATAGATTCCGGATTCCTCTACGAATTATTCACTGTAGTCTAAAGGCCATAATCAGTTGGCACTTCATTGTATACATTGAAGTTGTGAGTCATAAATTACAACTGCTCCCAGATCTTTCAGTTTTCAGGAGTGCTTGTTCACTGAAGATAAACTGGTGACGATTATCATGACTGATAAAATTAGAATTGTCTCTGAAACTAACTTACAAACCCAACTACTAGTAATGCATGTAAACCAGATAAGAACTCAGATTCATTTGCACTACTGCATTGTAACAATAAATAAATCAAAGTAAGTCGTTCTGCAATTCTTCGACATTTGATACTGACCACATCAGTTCAGGCACTCGGGCACGTATCCACACCACATCACGAGTGGATACGCTGTGCTACGCATCCACCTTAGAATAGACACTTCTAAAAATATCGATAGCCTTCTAAATAAATCTTCATACCACATTATTTTTAACTTCTGATTTGATTGGCGTAATTCAATCATAAATGTGTTGCGTGTAAAGGAGCTGTCGAACCCAAACTACATGTGGCATTTTTGGCCCATTATTCTGCAGAAGTTCGCATATTCCGAAAGTAGGTTAAAAGGACTCAAAGATTTCTCAAATAGACCGGCAAGGCTTCTACACCTATCGAACTCAAATATACTGAGGGCAGCTAAGTGGTTGGTGTTGAAGATGCCACATGTATTTGGAGTTTGACAACGCTTTAACCAGTAACACCTGATATGAATCGTACCCCCCAAGTGAAATCAAAAGACAGAAGCGAGAAGGTTCGAAAATATATTTGATAGGCTGTCAAGGATCGTCTGATATAATCTGGCTAGCGATTGCAGTGGATGTTGAGCACGGCGTTCCCACTCATGATCTGATGAGGATGCATGCCCAATCGCCTTCAGTTAGGTGAGTTCATCTAACGTCGAAGACTTACAGAATTTATTTACCGCTACATTGTAGTGACCTTAGGATCTAGGTATTGTAATTTATTTATTTTGTATTTTATACATAAACCACTAAATAATGGTTCCCTCACTAAAGGTTAGACAATTCCTGTATTCGTGTCACAGCAGATTAAGCTTTGGTCGAATGATGACAGCTAGTTTAGCAACAGACTTGAATTTTTTGTTGAAAGTAAACATTGTAACTCTCGCTCGTTTCTCTGATTGTCTGCTAAATATATAATTGGTCCAAAGATTTAAATAATCTTCAATAGACGTTACGTATTTACTTCCAGACAGTCCTTACCTTTGAACTATATTACATCAATGCCAAATTGCAATGTATAGTCAAGGGCGACCGTTCAGCAACTTTAGCTTGCAATGCATTTGTTAGCCTGTGATATGTACAAAACACGAACCCTTTGCCTAACGACTAAATAAATCGCATTGAACATGTAGTGTCTCGTTCCTGTGGAATGAATCATTCGCATTCCCATCTACATACGTGCTTGAACCATACTGATTGTTACGCTTCGCTTCGGCTCGATTTGATTTAAATGTGAACTCACCATTGCATTTGCTTGCTTGCCTTTTTGCTTAAATTCGCTCGGTGTTCTTGTAACTTTGTAATCTGCGCTATCCAACAATAATAATCCGTGTTTCCTTCTAAATCCACATACTGTTGGGGTTTGTTTAATAACGGTTATCAGAGTGATTGACAAACGGAGCATTGGGAATTTGGGTAGAAACCAAGCCACTGATTCATTAACCAGTTGTATACATGTGGCTGACTATT